GCGTGTTCCCCCCCCCTTTGTTAGAGGAAAGGTCCTAAAAAACACACACTCTCTCTCTCTCTCTCTCTCTCTCTCTCTCTCTCTCTCTCTCTCTCTCTCTCTTTCTCTCTCTCTCTCATATTTAAAACCCACACAATCACAAAAGACCCTCGGTGGCTCACAATAGCAACAAGGCATACTGTAATAATATCAAACACAGTATCTTAAAATACATTTAAAAAATCACAAAACAATACATGGTGTCAGATCCAAGCCCTCTGGAAAAACTCTTTGTTTTTAACTTTTTCTGGAAGGTCGACAAAGTTGGAGACAAATGAACCTCCAATGGGAGGCCTTTCCAGCGGGCCAGCCCCATTATGGAAAAACCCTGCTCCTGGGTTTTGCCCCCCCCCAAGAACCAGCTGCTTCTCCCAACAGTATTGAAATGGTTGGGGAGATTCTAGTGGGGAGATGTGTTCCTGCAGATAAACGTTTGTCTCGTTCCTCTGAGCATGAACCATCTGATGGATGCAACAAGAATAGCTGAACTTTTAGCTGGGACTTTTTTCTGTTGGTCTCTGTTTTGCAGTTGTTTGATAGGCATGACAGACAGGGTGTAACCATTAAATCCTCTCCTCATAGATCATAACCTAGACCTTGCAGAGAAGGATTTCACTGTGAATGCCGTAGCTGGAGCCATGAAGAGCTTCTTCTCAGAACTGCCTGAACCCCTGGTACCTTACAACATGCAGATTGAGCTGGTGGAGGCCCACAGTGAGTATGTGCCAATCAGTGATCAAGGCCATCCTTTCTTAGAACACAAAAGGGACTGTCCTTCATGTTTATGAAGCGTTTGGTCAGAAATGGCTCTACTCATTTTTGAAACTGAACCCACAAAAAGCAGTTTTCTGCCAGCACTTGCTTGTGAGTTGTTAACCACCCAAATCACACATCAACCAGTGTTGACATTGCTGCAGAATGGGCATGTCTAACCTAGTAAAATTTGGCCCCAAACTCATTCAGGTCTCAAGATTCTCTTGAGTATCTGAGTTTGCTTGCTTGCTCTCTGAAGGGCTGAATATTACAACAGATCCAGGACTAACATCTTAATTTTCTTTTCGTGCAAGCCTGGCAATTTGGTTTGGGAAGATGCTTTAAAAAATAAGGCATCCTAAATGCTAGATTCTGCTGTTCAGTCCCATACATTTGTGTCTTCCAGCTGTCTTGGTAAAAACAATATTGAAGAAGATAGGTGCACCTGAAGTTTCTTCCCATTAAATTAGCTGAGAAGCTGACTGCTAGGGCCATTTATCACGAGTGCATTGCTGCCTGCAGAGTGGAAATGCTTCCCAGGCTCTATTGATGGGGCCTCACGCAAAAGGTCAATTTTTTAAAAAAGCCCTGATTCCTAAACCAGGACTTACTGCAGCTTCCTGACACCCTACTTCTGGCTAATATAACTGTGGAATAAGATTGTCTCTCTGCGATACAGAGGCTCTTAGAATAGCTCGATATTTTTGCTTGACTCCAGTTAGTTCTGTACAGGGTCTAATTTGGAAAGCAAAGCAGGTGTAAATTAGCTGGAAGAGATTCAGCTGAGAAGTCCATAAACTTGCTGAAAACCTAAAATAAGGGGGTTAAGAATGGGGGCAAGAGAAGCTGGTAAAGGAACTGATAAAATGCTTTCCAGAATTAGCAGGCTGCTTCCTTAATAGAGAAGCAGAGTCACAGAGGCCAGAACGAAAGATTGAAGGTCTCTGCCTGTTCCCAGTCATGCCCACCCACAAAGTATCAGGACTGTAACTTCCAGAATCCCTAATCAATTTAGTGCAGTGTTTTTCAAACCTGGCAACTTTAAGATGTGTGGGCTTCAGCTTCCAGAATTCTGAAGTCCACACATTGTAAAGTTGCCAAGTTTGAAAAACACTGATCTAGAGAATGTCATATTAGGGAAGACTGTCTTAAGAAAGTAGGCAAGGTGTGTTTGGGGAAGTCTCGGAACAAGTTTTTTTTTTTAAGTTGACTGCTCAGCCCAAAATGGCTTTTTAAGTGGTTTTAAATTTTTGATAATGTTTGATAAATCATGCTTTAAAAATGAATTGGCTTTAAAAATTACAAAAAAACAATCTTCAGAGAGTTGGATAGGCAGACTTACACACACATGTCGTGGTTCAGCCCCATCTGACTTTGTAATTCAGTGGACCACAGTTCAGTGGGGTTGCCTGTCAGAAATGTCTTAAATTCTTGTAAGCTTGTGCTTGTGATAGATATAGTGATCCTATCTAGCCATCTTGTATTCTGCTGGCCTCTCTTTCCATTGCCTTCCATTTTTCCTAGCGTCAGGGTCTTCTTCAAAGATTATATCTCCAAAATATTAAAACCTAACCTTCAGTTTTAATGCTTCCAATGAGCCATCTATTTTTACTACATCCAGCATTGAATTATTTGTCTTCCTTGCTGTCCAAAGTATTCTCAACAATTTTATCCAGCACTGCAGTTTTGAAGGCATTGATTTTTCTTTGTTCAACCTTTCTGAGGTGCAACTTTCACGGCCATTTGTTACTATTGAGGAGATCATGAAATACATATCCTGTGTGATTTTTTTATACTTCAGTATTTTGCCTACAATTGTCATAGTCTTTCTTCCAAGAAGTAGCTGCCTCTTTTTTTTTTCATGCTTATTGTCCCCATCCCTGTGGATTTCTGACCCCAGGAAGATTGGATTGGTTGTGTTGTGTTGTGTTAAGATGAGATGAGATGAGATGATAATTACAAGTCACTAAACTGGTTCAGCAATATGGGTCTTCTATGGCTCCATCTAGAGTTAGAAAACAAAATAGAAAAGTCTCCTTGCATGCAGAGTGCTGAAGCAGCATCTTCTAAGTTTTCCTTGTTTTATTTATTATCTTGGTAAATAAAATGAAATGACTTCAGCACAAGCTTTAATACAGAATGTTTGCTGGTACAAAATGAAAGCATATATAATGGAGGAAGGAAGCAAAGTTTGCTGCCATATGTAACCATGAAGGGATGTACATTTGGGGAGCAACAAATCTGAGTCAGAGGACCCAACCTCTGGGAAATTAATAGAAGAGAAATGGGAAATTCCCGAGACGACCTCTTGGAAATGAACAGGATACTAATAAAACCCCATCAAATCGACTCGGGCCCATTCATACAGTTCTACCTCACTGAAGCTGGTCCAAAATTCCTTGCTGCCCAAAATATGATCTCCCCAAATCAAGATGACTGCTTCAGAAGTCCTGCCAAGTTATTTTGGCACACGAGGAAGCATGTCCTATAAGGACCTCTTCTGCTGCAGCAATAAAAATAGGGCAGTGGTGCGGCCTCACGGCCTTTGCCCCCCTCTGCCTCAACGAAGTGGCAGCGCCACAGCTAACCCGTGCCAATGCAACGCCAGTTGCCGTATTTCAAATATAATAAGATAAAATCAGTTGTCTTTGAATGGTATTTCAAATAGCAGAATACAAACAATTAAATCCTTAACAGGCATATTTGTCTGCAGCAGTTGCTTCATTGAGTTGTTTCCAGCTTCCCTCAGATGCTCACAGTAGAATTTGATGGGAAGATCCAAGGCGTGGTCCCCTCTCATTTTTATTTTTAAATTACTTGATTTGGGGTTTGATTTGTTTTTGTACCTGGGTTGTATAATTTTATCTACTGATTTTCTTCTGTTATTACTGATTTCTTAATTTTTTTACCATGAACATTTTAATTGTATGGTGGTTTAAGATAAAGATATAACGTTCTAGTAACTTTCCTGATTTTTGCATACGGTCAGATCTGAGGGCAGGAAAAATATCCATTGGGGTCCACGGTCCTGGGATATTTTGTCTGCTTTCTTTGAAGCGTTTTTCTTCAGGCTGGGAGGAAGTGCCGCAGTTTCCACTGATCACTGAATTATATGGAATAAAATTGGTTGGGGTATCGCAGCAGTGTCCCCTGGCTGTTTTAAATAGGGGATAATTAATGGCCAGTGACAACAAGCCTCTAAAACTATATGAAAAAGCTTCCATCACTGTTTTGCTAGATTTGATGTGGTTAAAATGGCTGGGGGTTTTTTTCCCCCTCCCTCTCACATCATGCCCCTTTTTCTAAAGAGGAGGAGATTCAGCGTCCAAATCTAGCTGAGTTTTGTCTGGCGGCTTGGCTGTTCTGGGAAGCCTCTGCTCTGTCTGCAGGCTGTCCTGATAATGCAGAAGTCCAAGCAGCTGTTTTGCTGGCCAGCAGTGGTGCTGCTGCCGGTCCTGAACTTCGCTTCAGATGTGCTTAGAGCGGTCAAAGCTCAGAAAGGCACCCGGAGCTGTTTAAATATTTAGCCTGTGCGGTCTGTCCAAATGGAGTCTGAGTTTGGCGTCTCTACTTTAGAAGCAGTCTCTGAGGGATTTCTGATAAATGATGCTTTCCCTTTGTTGCTCTAAAAGATATTTTTAAAAATAAAAAACAAGGAAGAACGCTATCTTCTCAGGTGACAGATTCACCCCTGTGATGTTCAGGCACTTTTTAAAAGCTGCAGTGTAGGAAGAACAGAGGAAGATGCTGAGACTACAGTAATATTTATTGTGGCTTAAACAGACGTCTTTAATGTACCTTTCAGACAAAAATCAAGTTTGGTTAACTTTATTATCGTCAGCATTTTGTGCTATTATTGTAAGATGTTACAAAGTACAAATTAAAAAGCATAGATATGGTAAATAAATTAATTCACTACCATGCTATCAGTGCAGATAATAAAATACTAAGGAACCTAAATATTAAAACTAATTAACAAGATTATAAAACTACTTTGTGAATAAAAATTAAAATGCTTATATACTAATACTAGGTTGCTAAGCAAGGATGTATATCTATATAAATCTTACCAGGATCAGTAGTGGCAACATATTGTACAACAGAGGACTAAAACAAAAAACAACATAAAAGACATTTTAAAAAGCGGGGGGAAGGGTGGATGGACCCAGTTACAGCAGTGATAGGTGCACCATTAGAAGACCTGAAGGACCTGGAGAAAATCTGAATAATCTGTGGCTGATACGTGACTTGATGGCATTTACAGCAATCAGTCAAACAGTTAAAACAGTAGTTTCCTACATAAAGCAGTGGTGACTGAAATAAATTTTGCAGCTCTCCCAGAGAGGGTTCCTGTCTCACAGCAGAAGCAAATGAAGTTGTCCTCAGAAGTTGTGAGGCTAATACTAGCGAGCAAAGTTATAAGAGTAGGATGCAGGTTGCTATACAGGTAGTCCTCCCTTAATTACGGTAATTGTCACTGGAATTTCCATTGCTAAGCAATGTGAGCAGTTCTGGGAGTCCCCAGTTACCATTGTTAAGCAAATCACCATGGATCATTAAACAAGGATCTCATGTGACCGCAACTTCCAACTTTCTACCGGCTTGTAGGAAGCCAGCAGGAAAGGCTATAAATCACGATCACGTGACTGCGGGGACATTGTAATGGCCATAAATACGAGGACTGGTTGTTAAATGCCACTTGTTCAGCGCTGCCATAAGTTTGAATGGTCACTGAACAAGTGGTTGTTTACAAAGGACTACCTGTAGAGAGAACATCTACTAGAGGTTCAGGTTCCTCAGAGGGAAGTTTGCTCTACAGAAGGAGTATTGCTACTCCAAGCATCCTCAGCACTGCATCCAAGAGACCCTGAGAATAACCAGAAGCAAGGCTTCCTTCCCTGTTTCTAGAACTTGATCCGATGTGCTTATAAAGGCTGACCAGTGGTTTCAGCATGGGTAATACATGTCTGGCCTACAAAGCATATCTGGGCTTTTCTGTGAGCACTTGGGAAAACGTGACTATTCCGGGTACTGCTAAAAAGCTATTTTTGCCTTCCAGATTTAAAATGTGAGGCTCTAAACTGGGAGTGCCCAGCTTCGTCTTAGTTCAATTCTGCCAGCAATTTGCTGTTCCACATCAAAAATGTGCCCTCCCCCCTCCCGCCAGTCTGAACCAAGTTCTTAGGATTTGGTGAAGAAAGATGCAAAAGAGTTGTCAAATGAATGTAGTTTGTATAGTGCCTGGTACCTGTCATAGTAGTTTTTTGGGTAAGGAAATTAATTTTAATTGCCACGTATTCCTTGTATTCATATAAGCCAAATTTGACTTATATGATTATTCACTTGGCTGAATAAAATTCCCTGATACTTTGGTTGCCATTTGTAAGACTTTTGTTTTAATTGCTGGCCTTCCTAGCTCAGCACCTTCCATAGGACAACTTTGCAGGTTGCAGCCGCAGCAGATCTGGAGGGGACAGGCTGGGGTAGGCTGGTTTATTCCTTGAACAGGAACTGGTCATGGCTGCAAGCTTCTCAGGTTCCACTTTGATAATCTCAGTTTGTGAATGTCCATTGCTCCTTGAAAGAGTATAAATCTTATTCCATTTCTCCACTTAAACAGAGATCAACGACAGAGAGCAGAAACTGCATGCACTTAAAGAGGTGCTGAAGAAATTTCCCAAGGAGAATTATGAGGTCTTCAAATATGTTATCTCTCACTTGAACAAGTAAGTTCAACATGGGTTTCTTCCATCCCTCTGAGATGCAAAGAGGCGAGGTAGGGATGTCCCTTGACTTGTAGCTGTTGGTCATTTTGTGACCCCTGGATATGCGTAAAGCTAACCATGGTGGGACAACAGAACCTACCCAGAGTGAATCCATTCCCGGACATTTCTCCCAATTAAGCAGGGCTGCATTATCAAAGGTCTCCTTAACGTTGCTAAATTGTGCTCCACCAAAGATTAGCAGCAGCACCTGGGGTAGGTTTTGTGAGGGTTATGGCCTCCCTGGTTTCATTAGGCATGGACAAAGGGCATTGGCTGCTGAGAAAGGCCCAGCTGGCAAGCCTGTGCTCTTACTTTTCCAGTTCACGATCCCAAAGCCACCACCAGACCATCAGCCCCGTCCTTGCAGACCCCAGTGGAGGTGGCAATATCCCTGCAGCATTCAGCGGTCTCATTCTAACAGACTTCTACTTCAGAACAATACAACAAGCAAAGCCCAAGGCGGTTTTCCCCTCTGAATGGATTCTGTCCAAAGTTCAGTTTATATTATTCTCGAGCAGCTGTGTTTAAATATTCATAGCGACTATAGAGGCATTTTTTAAAATCTATCCTGAGTGGTACTAATGTGAAAGTTAACTTTTAATTCTCCACCATTGGCTTGGTAGCATCCCCCTCACAGTCCGTGCTGTGCTTCCTTGCTTTCCTATGTATGCCCAGTATTAAGCCAAGAACATGACATACATCTCGTATATCGACAGCCTTATGACCCACCTGGGAAGCAGTAACCCAGTGGCAACAGAGTGGGAGGCCAAGATAGCTTCTGGTGACCTGGACATTTTGGACTACCATTCCCAATGGCACCATCTCAGCTTCACAGGCTGGGGAGAGCTAGTGAACTTAGCTGGTCCACAGGCCGATGCTGCACGTTGGTCTGTGCCGTTCTGAGAAAGCAGTAGGCCCCTCTGGGGTGGGGAACAGGTCTTGCCCCTCATGTCTGAGCACCCTTTGTCCTTGCAGAGTGAGCCACAACAGCCGAACCAACCTGATGACCAGCGAGAACCTCTCCATCTGCTTTTGGCCCACATTGATGAGGCCCGACTTCAGCACCATGGATGCCCTCACCGCCACGCGCATTTATCAGACAATCATCGAACTCTTCATCCAGCAGTGCTCTTTCTTTTTCTACAGCCGGCCCATCGTCGAGCCCCCAGGCGCCACTCCCAATTCTCCCTCGGCCATCCCCATCAGCACACCTTTCCTGTCCTCCACACCTGTGATAACCCAGCCGTCTCCTCCGCAGACGCCTCCACCTTCGCCCCAGTCTCCTCTCCAGTCCCTTCTGCCCCCCCAGCTTCAGGCCGAGCAGCACACACTGTGAACCAAGGCCCAGTCAGGAAGAAAGGTCTGCTTCCGTTCTGGCGCATAGAACAAGACTGGGAAGCTGCTCCACCCTGGCATCTCTTGGCCCTCTCTCTCCTCCCATCATTTGGTTACAAACTTCAGTTGGGCTAAGCAATGGCAGGCTGGCACATTGGACCCCTCTGAAGCCTCGTTCTGCCTCGGTGCCTGGCATGGGAGGGCACGCCAAGTCTAGGAGGAGGATGTTGTTCTCAGTGGGAAGAGATTTGGACCTCTCTTTCCAGGCAGAATCAATTCCATCAGGATCTACTCTGACCCCAAGCAAGGCTGCAGAACGCAAGCGAACACTGCCAAGTTCAGCTGGGCAGGGTTAGCCCAGTGGCTTTGGACCAGTCCCTTCTCGGCCTCAATCAGTGCGTGAACAGAGAGGACTGTTGGAGCAAGAGGCGTCCCCCCTCCACCAAGCACATTCCAGGAACGATTATAACTGAGGCCTATCCTGCAGTGCTGGACATCTCACCTGGGTTGGGGACCATACCTTTTAATTTAGACCAATTTGTACCACCCCAGTAGTAGCTCAGAAGATCCGAATCAACTCAACTGAAACAAAGGCTGGAATGTAACTTCCTCTTGACCTTAATGTCAGGACCAGTCTCAAAAGTGGGAAGAAGAGTCCTGAGAATTTGTGGCTGGCAGTTTCCTGGGCAGGGCAGGATGACGGCAGTCCAGCCTTGCTGGCCGTGCTGTCTTCATATGACAAATCATGGCACCTCTCTCACTACCCTCTTTCCCCAACCTCGAAGGATATTGGTGTTAGCACTTAACAGAGGAGAGAGAGACGAGAGAAGAAAGTGCATGTCCATTTGCAAAGAATGTTGATGTTTTGCTGTCTGGCCTGGGGTTTGACTCCTTTGGAACACTACATTGACAGAAACACTGTTGTTAATTTTGGTGTGCGTGCGTGTGCCTGATTGGAAGCAAGTGGTTAGAAGGGCGGGGGGAAGCATTGCTAGTGAAGAGAGAGAAGTGCAAGCCTGTAGACTTCCCTTTCTTTCTCCTTGAAATTGGAAAAGGCAAGCTAAGAGACAGCACCAGCGGAATATTTGGAAGGCTTCCTGCTGCCGTTTCACTCGGGTCTCTTGGAGTAGCTGAATAAACTTGTGTGGGAGACGCAGAGCCTGGAAAGATCTGTTAAAAAGAGGGTTAAAGGGGGAAAACAAAGGGTTTGTTTCTGACCACTTTGGTGCAAATGCTGTAAATGCCCCCGGGCTGAGGGGGAAGCTCTTAGCCAGCCTCCTTTTGGGAGTTCAGAGCGCTCTGCCCTGTCAGAAAGGTGGCAGCAGGTTAGGGGGTGACCGCCATGCCATGAGAAAGAGAGTCTGATTGGAAATTCTTAAAACCTTTGAGTGGAGCATCCACAGTGAGGTTTGTTGCCCTGCCTACAACCCTGAACCCTTGCCAGCCTGCCACCGTGCAGTGCCGCCACCCCCCAGCGCCTTCCCAAGCGGCTGTGTCCACTCTCTTCCCAGTCGCTGTCAATGCGTGGCCGGCACGTGGAGGGAGAGGCTGATGCGCCAGGGGAGCCCCTTGCCCTCTTGCTCTTCTCTCTCACCCTGGAAGCCCCCGACTGTTCCTCTCAGCCCTTCAGCCTGTGGCCATTTCCCTCTTTTCCTAGCCGAGGCTTGTGCTGGGTCTGCGCACAGCTTGGCGTTGCTCCTGGGCTCGTGTGAGCCTCCCGTTGAGGGAAACACTAGAAACGAACCACTAGGGATCACCGGTCAGGGTTTCCGCACCGTGTATGTGAATGGGGATTGTGTATCAGCAGTGCCTGGTAAACTGCCCTGTTTGTGTGAGTGTGGGTGTGTGTGTGAGGGAGAGGGAGTGTGGGGTGTGGGTATATTTGTTCTCATTAACAGGGCAGTTTTAACTGGAGTTTCCATGGTACCACTGGGAGGACAGGGGAACAATCCCTACTCCACCCTCACTGTCTTTTCGCACTTTAAAATGAAACCTGTGGTTTATTGCTGTTTTTAGCCTTTCAAGGATATTTGTGTTACATTCGTTTGGTGGGAGTGCAATTCCGGCCCTTCTCCCACCCGCCCCTCCTTCCCCCAAATTACTCTTCCGCTTCCATTCTGCTTCCTGGTACCCAGAGCCCCGTCGTCAGCAGACTCTCTCTCTCTCTTATAAATAAGCTGAATTATGTACTCCTTATTTTAGAACCACATTGAAAAGTTGTGTCTGTGTCAGAATCGTGTGCTTGAAAGCCTCTCTTGCAAGCATTCCTCCCTTGTTTTATACTCTCGTGCATTAACGATGAAGCTTTTGTGTAAATAATGGAAATGGTTTGTTTTAGATGCTTACAAGGAAAATGGAATTAGCCCACCTCCCGTCAATTATGCATGCGCGACGCGAAACAAACAAGCAGTCTTGCAGGGAGGAGGCTGAGGAGGCTGGAAAAGTTCCGTTCTGACTTTCTCCTTGGTGAAAAAAGGAGGGCTGATGTCTCCCCCCACCCCCCAGCTGCAGTCTTCAGCTGTTGACCCAAATGGGGTGTGGGGCGCACTGTTTCTTACCTGGAATGGGGCTCTGTTGAGCAGCAGTGTGCGCTTCTGTGCCTTCTTTGGGGGTGTGCTGAAGTCTCCCTTAGACGGTGCTCTTGCTAGCAGCCCTTGGGATTAGGGAAGGCAGCTGACCTTGAGTCCTCCCTTAAATCCCAAGTTTGGCCTTGTGTGCGGCCATTCGGACACGTGTTTGCTCTGAGGCCCCTGACGTAGCACCCAGCCTGGGAGACAACAACCTGAGACTGGAACTTGATGTTGGCCGGGGAGAGGAAGGGCCGGAGGCTGTCCTGCGGTGGTCAGTCTGTGGCCTCAGTTGCTGTGCTTAAGACTGGGGGGGGGGGGTGAGCTTTGTGCCTGCCCCCTCCT